TAGTATTAGTATCTACTTTTTGGTATTTATATATATTGGTGAATTAATATTATTGGATAACTTGTTATTTATATGTTTTTAAATTGGACTACGTTAATTTGTAAAAGTTACGAATGAACATGTCATTAGTTGTATTTATATAGTATTGTTGTAAATATTAAAAAATTTAATTATGGTATAGAACGGAACGGAACGGAATCGAACAGAACCGAAATGAACTGAACTCGAATGGTTCCATAAATTTGGATCCTATGATTCCATTTATTAAATACCCGAAAATTTTGGTTATGTTCGAATCTCTTCAAAATCGAATCGAATCGGATCGTGTCCAGCCATAATTACAAAAGTGTTGACCGATAAGGTTCTTAAGAGATTTATGATACATATATATAAACCAGGTGATAAGGGAGACAAGTTTAGTCTTAATTAATATCCCAAAAATAAATTTAAATAAAAAATACAGAAAATTTCCTATGCTTTAGCAGTTAAAAATATAATCTATACTGAGGTTTACACGCATTCGGATATAGAATTTATTGTTGAAATGCTAAGCAGATATTAATTAACTTTGGGATGAAAATTTGGAAAGTAGTCATTAGGTTATTCGGTATCTATAGAGAACTAAGGATTAGATAATCACATTCAGGAAAATCAAACCAATTGGAGATCATTGAATATGAATGCAAAATATTGTCACCGTGCTGCATATTTTGAATGGATTTGAAAGACCATTTAATTATTCTGTGACAATTGCAGTCTTGTAACAGGAGTATGATGATGTCAAAATTTATAGACGTTAAGTTCCTAGTTGTCAAGAAAAGGGTTTAGAGTGGTTAGATTTCTATAAAACATATTAGGACAAACTCTATAATCAACCCAAGGTCTTTTAAGAGTATAATACTCACATGAGTTTTGCATTCTTTGATTATATGCCAATTTAGTTGGAGTTTATATTCAGAAGTTGTCTGTGTTTAGACATTTTTTTTATCCATGAATATTCAGTTTATTTCAGAAATAAAGTATTTAGTTTAGTTCCAATCTGATTAAAATTTATGGTTGATCTCATTAAGGAACAAAGTAGGACCAGTTGGAAATAGATATGTTTGGATCACATCGCAAGTATTTTCTATGCTACACATCCACACTTGATCTTCGTATGTAATTTCTATGCTACACATCCACATTTGATCTA